GCTGGGAGAGGCCGCGGCCCCCGCGGGCCGCCTGGGGCCGGGTTGCGCGGGGCCCTCCCCGGCACATCTCGGGCGTGTCACAAAGGTGGGGAGGGGGTGAGGCGGCACGACTTGTGTCGGCTGCTCCCTCCGTCAGCCAGGGAAGGGAGAGCCGGGCGCCGGGATGTGAGGCCACCACCCGCGACGCCGCAGGGGGCAGTTTAGGGGACCAGGACCTGCTCCGCGGGTCGGCAGGAGCTTTACCGTGCAACGGGATGGGTGTCACGGAGTAGCTGCGTTCCCCTCCGGCTTCCTGGCGTGCAGCGCCAGTGCAGTCCTTGTATTGGTCGCCTGCTACCATGTTGCGGTTTCCCCTTCCTTTCCCTCCCAAACTCTCACTGAATAATCCAGTCCCGCAGTTCCCTTTGGCAGAGTAATGCCTGCGTCAAGTAAAGTCTCTTTTCTGCATTTATTTTAAGGGAAGACTCTTTAAGGGAAGAATCGTAAATACGGTAAGTAATTTACCTTGTTAGTGCTGTGCCATTCTTGTCACCTAGGTGAAATTGTAAGAGGGGTGTCTTTTGGGGTTTTTTTGTTTTGTTTTATTTTTTTCCCAATCAGGCAGCACTGTCTTTGTGGCTTGAAAAATCAATTACAAGATTTGATAGTATGGAAGGTTTCCTTACATCTTTAAGTTCTCACTAACATTAAAGACAATATTCACCAAGCCTTTCTAGGATAAAAGCCTGTCCTTGTAATTTCTGTGTCTCACACAACATTCAGTTTCCTTTGAAACTCTACACCCTTGAGTGGCTTGCATTTTAGAAATACGAGTGAGGCACTGTCATTAACAAAGTTTTAAAATATGCTCTGCTATAAAATGTCAATGACTTAATTCCTAATCGAGGTTAGGCAAAAGCACATACTGCAAACACACGTTGAAGCCAGCACATACTGCACACATACACAAACAACCCTCACTAATGTAGTAAATATGGTTGTACAATATAGATAATTTTGAGAGTGAATTAAAAAATCTCTGAATATGTTTACATAGCACCCATAAATAGGAGTATATGTGATAAACAGCATGATAATGTCTTGAGGTAATTCACAATTTGTTTAACAACCAAGTTTTAAATAAAAATCCACACACACATTCTTGGATGAATGATAAAGCACTTTCCAAATACATCACTCTTGTGTTTTAAAATGACAGTAAACTGTATTTGTATGCTTTCCATTGCACTCAGTTCCTCTGAGCACCAAAGACCAAGAAAAAAGCCCTACTTATTTTTAAGAATGAACAGGCTGTTTAACACAGCTTCAGATCTTCCATTGTTTGAAAAAACACAGTGCTGTAACGTCTCACTGTTCCTATTTTGCCTGTGTTTTCAAATGCACATGAATCGCATGGATCTTAGAAAATTAAAATCTTAGGGAAACTGAGCTTTTAGCACTCTGTAAATAGTCCTGCACACAGCATGCTATCAAAATACAGGTTTTGTGAACCAGTTAAAAATTAGGTTGGTCGAGCTTATCATCTCGTTTTCTGTTCACACCATGTCCCTAATGTTTTCTTAAAGATACTTTCTCCTTAACAGAAGATAAAGTCCTCAAAACCTAGTTTATCATGAAAGGCTTTTTAAGAAATTTGTAAATCTGCATTGTTTTATTTAGAAGTCACCAAGGCTCTGTCTTGTAATTTCATCTACTCTGGTCATGCAAGGTTTTATTAGAATTGTGAAGAAAAATTGATTTAAAATGTCTTGGTAGACTGAAATAGATCATAGCTATATTCTATATGGGGAAATTATTGCATTTATTTTTCTGTAAAAGTTACAAGTCCCCATGTCAATACGTCTAACTGCTGCTATCCTTTTTATTTGTAGTAACTGCTGTTACTGGCTTTTAGATATTTCATCTACTTGGTTGATTGTTTCATTATGCAAATAAATATTCCCATGTTTAACACAAGAGGTCATACTAATCACACAGCATGTTATAAAACTAATCAGCTAGGGTTTTATTTCAGTTCTGTTGTGAAACCTAGGATATCTCATCACAGTTTCAAGGTCTAAAATGAGAATGGTTGAGAGTTTGCATTTTCACAGCTAAAGGGTTATCACACTGTGACTCCGATTAATGAGCCAGAATAGAAAGATGCTATTTAATCTAAGATTTTCCCTTGTAAAATAATTTTAAAGTTCACTTTTAAAAATTAGTGTATTTGTTTTCAGAAATAAAATATATTCTTCACATGAACTGGAGTGTTATATTTTTTTCTATCACAAATAAATTAGCATGGGCAGCTCAGTACTGCTAAATCATATGAAACTGATAACAGTAAATCCCTATGAAACAAAGATCTGTTTGGGATTGGAGACCTTGTTTTTTTCCTACCTTTTTATTATATACTGGATGGAACTGCTCTTACTGTTTTATCATGGGTCCTGCTGCTGCTTTGCCAAAGAGGCTGATTTTACACATATATGTATGTGTGTGTACCTGCATGTGTGTGCACACCTTTGTGTAAAGAGACAGACAATTCCTGCAGATCTCAATTGATAATGATGATTATTGGAGATGTTTGGGAAACAGATTTATTTTTTTTCTAAACTCACTAATTGCAAGAACAAGATAAATACTGTTCAGCAAAACTACCAATAGCAGGACAGGAAGCTCAACAGAGACAGGAAAAATGAGATTTCTAAGAGAAAAAAACACTACAAATATTTGAAGTGACCGCTAATGGTTAGTAATTTGAAATTCTCACATAACAACATGCAGTGAAGATGCAACACCTACAGGCTACAATAAAAGGTATTAGAAAGCTATTTTTGCTTTTATCCTATTGCTTCTCCTCATGCCAGACTCCTTTTAAAATCACTGACAACTTTGTACTCATAAAAATGTAAAAAAGTATAGAAAGCTAGTAATAGATAGGAAACAACAGGAACAAAACAAACAAAACAAAAACTTAGGGAATTCTGTCCTGTAACAGTAGTTTGAACTCAAAAGCGTCTTCTGCACAAGACCTAGGACTTTCTAGAAAGCACTAAAGGGAGCAGCCTTATCCTGTTCAAAAAAACAAGCAGGTACACATCTTAGTGTATGCACAGAGTGATGCCATTCAGTGTAAGTAGAGTCACATTAATAAAAACAGAGGTAACATCAGCACTAATGGGGTATCGTGAGATCATTCAGGGGTATCCATGCAGCTATACAAATGCTTTGTGAGACAGCACCAAATGACTGCAGTACAGCTGCCAAGACAATGACATGGAAACAAATCATGTGAGCCACATGTGTAAATTACCTTTTGCATACCATCTGGCAGGGTTTTTACCCACCAGATGTCTCTGACATTCACCCCAGCAATTTCTGTTGTCCTGTAGTTATATGCCCTAATGGGAATCCCCTGCCTGCTGGACCTGTGCTTACTTCAAAGACTTTTTGATAATGTTCCACAGTAGTGAGGGAAGGCGAAGAAATACCAAATAATGACTCTATGCAGATAGTACACCTACATATTAGGAGGCATGCTTTACTGTTTCTACTTTTGATTTTATACTGTTCCACTGATCTGCACTTTCTTCTGCTTCTCCACCAATGAAAATGCAGATTCACTCCAGTTCAAAACCTTCATCTATGATTTGGGATGTGTAGGATACAAAAGATAAGGACACTGAATTGACTGATCTAAAACAGTAACCAGTTTTCAAAAGTGGAGATGTTAATTCATGGGGGTGCAGCTTAAGAAATAACTAGAATTGCTGCATGCCTTTCCTCCAGTCAAGGGGCCTTTCTCAAGGGATGGATTTTTTTCAGATTTTTTGCTAACAACACTTTTTATTACAAATAAACATGTTGAAAATATAGGACGGGATCCACAAAACTGCTGGGAAAAGTATTTCTTCCTTTAATACACCTTGCCATCCTTTCTGGACTTTTCATAGTACTTCGAGATCACACAAATTACTTCTTTTTTTGCTACTACTTTTTTCTCATTGTCAAGGGACACTACCACCTACAAGGAATTTCTTAGCTAGCTAATTAATACTATGTTGTTCGGCTGATACAGGGTGCTCAGCAGGTGACAAGTACATTATGTTTAATCTGACTACCTTTTATTCTCACAAATTGGTGCCGTCTTGTAACAACTTTAAGTCAGTACAGTTACTGAAATGATAGCATTACGCAGTATTTCTATTTCAGCCTGTGCAAAAGCACAGAGTGACTTTGAGTTTGTAGGGGTTTATCAAGTGCGAGAGCTTACTTTTAACTTTGCAGCATTCAGTACTTGAAGAACTTTGACCTGTTGAATCCAGTGAGACATTGTTTACATCTAAATATAAGATCATACCTTGCAAAGCTGGTAGTGCACAAACTGAAGATGTTAGGAGTGCTTTTCCTTTCCATGAAGTAAGTAATTTCTGATTCATGCAGCAATTAATTCTAAATAATTAAATTTCATTTGCCAATGTTTGAAATTTTTTTTCCATTGGTATTTTATCATCAGTGTTTCCATTTTACCATCAGAACATAGTTACTCTAGATTTGCACTGGCATTGTTGTATTTGGAAAATTCATTCTAGGTTACTTAGTTATTAGGCTGTAAAATGTGAAAATCGGATTTTGCTTTTATAAGGTGACAAATATGTGGTGTGTGATTGCTTTCAAATCTTAAATGCATTGTAGGTTCTTCCAGTCAATAACTCTCCCAATTCGAAACACATATTAAATGTAAGGTTGCTTCTTTGGTTGCATTTACTGAGGGCTTTTTATTTGTTTCTGCAGTCCTGATACCCTGAAAGGCTCTAAAACTCCCACAGCATGTTCAAATCCTATGTCACAAAAGTCTGCTTATTTGTTGCTGTCATGATCATACCTAAAGCCTTTTGGATCTGTTCATAACACACACAAATGTCAATGTATATTGTGGTCCTGTTTGCAGAAATCATATCTAACAAATCTGGAAAATTTATACACTTGCAGAATGAATGGAAGCAGGGAAAAAAATGAAAGCCAATGTCCAGTTTTATGTTACTTGCAGTCCTGCTTTCTACTCAACATACATTTAATTGTATTTCTGTGGTTGTTTTTCTAATTTATGAGATGTCTGACTTGAGAAACAAATTTGGGACAGAGAAAAGGGGCATCTCATTCCTTCCTTCCTAGCTAGGTCTGTCTGCAGGACCTGTTTTTTGCCACTCCCCTTTCCTTTACATTACCCCTCCTTCTCACCCTTCCCTACTTCAGAGAATGCATAACACTTACTCTTATGGCACCTGACAGCACCTCTGGGTCAGGTGGTGGAAGACAGGGGAGTTCTGCAGCTCAGCTTTTCTCAAAGTAGGA